ACTACACTAACTTGCAACTGAGTTCGTCACTTAGAATATATAAATTCTCTAAATTTCCTAAGTCCCTAAACCTTTAAATTCGTAAACTAAGTGAAGTAATTCCAAGGCATTCTGGATACCTGTAGGACGTAAAATTCCCTAAGGTTGTAAAGTTTGATGATAAGGAAGTTACTTACCGCAGCAAAAGAACTTAGATAAATTACGTGAAGTAATTAGAGAAGATTATTTCCCAGTGACAAAGTGGTGATTCCTGCCAGGCAAAATACAAAGAGGAAAGTATAAAGAAATTAAAGTGGATTTAAACACTTTTAAAGAAGATAACCAACTACACGACCTTATTCACGAATCTGATATTGATCCTGAAAGATTAATAGGGAAAGATATTTCATGTCAAATTTGCTATCCCTTATATTTACCTGAACCTGATAACTTTGAAGACTTTCAGTACTGGTATCATATTCAATTTGGATCATATAGATACTTTGGATATACCCTTGATCTGTTTAAGATATTACAACAAGTAACTAAGGAATTAAGCGAACAACCTGAAGATATCGATCTTGTACAAACTATAACTTCTCAAGTCTCTGCATTAATCAGAAGTTTTAGATATAAGAAAGTTGCTAGCTTACCCCCAATTGCTGAATTAATAGTTTTATTAGTAAAAACAAATTGTGTAGAAAAAGGAAGTGCGCCCTTTGCTGAGTGGTCAAATACAACTGTTACAGTCAACGACTATATATTTAATCAAGAATTCAACGTGGATCCTTCTGAAGAAAACACCTCGTCTTCCTTGAACCCTGCAAAAACTAGAACTCTTCGATCAGGAAGAAATTACAACCAAGATCCCTCTATTCGATATCAAAAAAGATCGTATTGATCCACTACCAAAAGTTCTATTGCTCGTGCCCAAAAAGTTATTGCATCAGGTAGCTCAAGTAAAAATCAACCAATTCAATCAACTTCTTTTTCCCCAATTGTTCAGTCTAATCCTATTATTGAAAAAAATTCAGAAGAAGAAACAATTACTCAGGCTAATTTGGATACTATTCCTGAAACCATTGAAACTTTGGATTCAGACGAAGAAACTACTACATATACTAAAGCAAACGAAGAATATTCACCAAACGTTAAACATAATAGACAAGCCCTTGCAGACTTAGTTGTTTCACAAGAAGAAGCTGAATATACACCCTTAACTGTTACTAATCTATACTCTGAATCTGAGTACTTACCAACTAATTATTCTCAAGAATCACCTTTTCGACCTTCAAATTTTACTCTGGAACAATCTGAAGAAGCCTCTCGAATAGTTGTAGGAACTCAACCAGAAAAAGCCCCTGAAAACGATTCATTTAGTACTATTTCACCAACCCTAGAAAAAGGAGGATTTCAAGAATCACCATCATCTAACTTATTCAATAATAATGCAATCGAAACTATAGGAAATAGATCTTTTACACTTTCACCAGTAGCAACCAGTATCCCAATAACTAAAGAAAAACAACCAGTCACACATTTTACTCAATTTTCCAAAGACAATACTTCTTCTAATTCGACGATGTCTCACTTTGGAAGTCTATTTGGAGGAATTAATACAGGAACTCCTAGTATCGCATTAGGAAGTAATAATCCATCTCAACCACCAGCTGTCACAACCACAGCGAATGTTCAATGGACTAATGTAGCTAATAATTCTAATACAACAGGATTTAATACTGCTATCACTGCTGTAAGTAGTAATACTGGAACAGAATTTAGATCAAAAGGAATAGGATTTGAACAATCATAATCTCAACAAACTCAAACTACACAACCTCAACAAAATGTTCCTCCATTTAATCAATTCGCTCAAGGTGGTAATCAAAATAATCAAAATGCACAATTGGCTCAGGCACTTCAACAAATTACATTTGCCTTACAAATGATGGCTGTAAACAACAATAATGCAGGACAGGTACAAGTTAATCATGCTGAACTGAACTTGATAAAACCAAACTATTTCCATGGACTTGATGATGAAGACTCTTTTGAATGGATCACCTCTTTTAATTGAGCTACTACTGCAAATCAATGGAATAATAATAGAAAAATAGCTATTGCAGCTGGAATTTTAAGAGATGCCACAGCCAAATGGTACGATGAAAATCAAGAGGATGGCATGCACAAGGAAATCCTAATAGCTTTGTAAATGCATTTTTAAACTATTTTGCCAACGTTACCATGAAAAATAGATGGATGTCTGAGTTGGAAATGATTAAACAAAATCCTGGACAAAGTGTATCTGATTATACTCAAAAGTTCAAGATGTTAATGCAACGAGTTGATACCACTGGAGGATTTAGACAACATTATATTGTTAGTAAATTCGTTAGAGGATTGTCACCCCATTTAATGATCATTGTAGTCGGCCATAGCCCTCAAACTTTAGATACAGCTATCACTAAAGTTAAAGAAATCAAAACTGGATTTACTATTGCTCAACCAATCCAACAACAACAAATAATAGTCAATCAAATGGAGATTCTCCAACAACAGGTTGCTCAATTAACTGCAAATCTAGCAAACACCAAAGTCCAATCGAATTCACGTCCTAGGTGGAATCAACAAAATCAGCAAAACCAACGAAATACAAGCTTTCAAATTCATCGAACCAATGAATGCTGGAGATGTGGCGAGGAAGAACATTTTGCTAGGAAATGTCAATCAGAAACACCTATAAAAGCCCAACCAAGGTTCCAAAATCAAAACCAACACCAAAATCAAAATCGTACACCATACCGTCCATCTGGTAGACCACAATAACGTAATATTAATTTAACTGAAACAGAGCAAATAGAACAAGATGAAGAAGTATATACTACAACTAGAATTTTTCCTAGAACTGAGTCAAGAGGAAAACAAAGGATACGAACTCCCCTCGATCTCCTAAGCTGGTCTCTCAAGCTAAATTTGTCCTACATTATGAACAACCCTATAATATCGTTCAAGATTTAGAAAGACATGATGCCAATGTAACTTTTGGACAACTATTACAAAACCCTTAGTATTTACAAGAATTGAAAGATTCAATTAACAAAGTAGAAAAAGAAATTGGAATTAATATCGCACAAACTCATGTTAATGATAATAATAAATACACTGCCGCCAGGTGTATTATGCGATACAAACTAAATCCTATTGAAGTAATTTTGGACTCAGGAGCCGCTGCCTGTATTATCTC